CCCCCCCCCTTTGTCAATTTGAATGTTGGATAAGTAAGTTCAAAGTCAATTCTTGTCCGCCTTACTGGTCACGGACCAGAAAACCTTTATTTTCACGATTTTGAACAAATATGAACAGGTCTGACCTGTATTTTGTCAAGCAACTGATCGGCAGGAATCATTTCAAGAAACTTTTTGAGATCCATTGCAAGAAACTCAAAAATCAAGTAAATACGATCCGTTTCCAGGGCGATCTCCTCCAGACTGAAAATTTACCCAAATTACATGTCTCTTAAATAATAATTCATAGAGTGAACAGCTCCTCCTCACCGTACACTCAGTGCTTTCTTTCGTAGGCTTGAGATACCCGGATGAACAAAGCGGATTATTGAATGGAACCCATGCATCGGTGAATTAACACACCAAAACAGTGAAAGAATTCACTCGTTATTTTAAGTTGCACATGCGCCGGGAACATTCCCTGAAAAATTCAGCTCCCCAGCTTTCCTGATTGCCAAGCTAGCGATTTTCGCGCCAGGAACCCTTGCGGAGCCATACGCGAGAACCACGCATGCCTGGGGGCTGAATTTGAAATCTTTGAGTTCCATGGAGACGGGGGACATAACCTCAAAATTTCAACTTTCTAGCTTTTCTGGCTCCCGAGTTGACGATTTTCGCGCCAAAACTTCCACCTCCTTGTACGCGGGATACAGACTTGCGTGAGGGTTGATACCGCGGCCCTGGGGTGGCACTTGGCCGGGGAACCCGCCAGCAAAATTTTAGCGCCGGAGCTTGCTTGGGTGCCGAGTTGAAATATCCGGACAGACACATACACACACATATACACACACACATAAACACACACACACCGGGGTCTTCACAATATGTGTTTTTGCATATATGCAAGAACGCACAAAAAGCATAAAACGAAGAATGGAGAAGTTGCTAGCTGATCAAAATAAATATTGCAAAACTGGAGCAGTTATAAATTCGATCATCAACAAAGCAACCCGGCTAGCTTTAAATCTTTTTCCTCATCCAATCCCTTCAAATCGAGTGATAATGTTATAAAATCAAAACGAACGCTACGATATTGGGATGTACGAGCTCTTTGAGCAGCGATATTTCACGGATCGCAGTAGCCGGGATACCCTCCAATTCACTTTCCACGCGAATTTTCTTCATAGCCACAAATTTTCCGGTGTTTTTCTGGATGCCTTTGTAAACTACACCATATGTTCCTGTAGCAGATGAAGTAAGATTTTTCCATCCATAAAAAATGCTGCATTTTTTTTTTTTTTTTTGCAATTTTGTGAATAACTAAAATAAACAAGTGAAATTCCTCGATTTTTATAAATTCGAAATAACATACCTTCGCCGATTTTCTCGACTCGTGTGTAGCCCTGCAGAGTACTCCATTCGCCAGCATCTGTTTTGTCCGCTGGAATTTCATCACTCAGAACATTATGCCATTGTTTTCGCTGCCCCTCCCCCCGCCGCCCGGTATTTTCGTTGTCCCTTCCACAGGAAGCCTCTGGGCAACTTGTTGCATGACTTTAGACAAGAAAAAAAAATAAATAGCCAACGCGCAGGCTGCCCGTGCGAAGATGTGTTTTTTGCATAGCTCCCCGCAAATTTTTGTCGCTAACCGCACTGGCTTTTCCGGCGGATGCTTCTAGCTAAAAGAATTTCAGACTGGCCGCCAAAACTGTCAAGAAACATCCTTTCAAGATTCCAGTCTTCTAGCTTCTCACGTTCTCGAATTATCAACTTATCCGGAAAAAACTTTCACGGGCCCGTACGTAGGTACCACACTTACCCGCAGGCAGGGTTTAAACTCTTTAATACCCACTTGGACAGGGAACATCTTCCTAAGATTTCAGCGTTCTAGCTTCTCAGACCCCCGAGTTATGGACTTACCTGAAAAAAATTTTGGCGGGCCCGTGCGCGGGTACCACGCTTAGCCAGGGGTTGGTTTTGAGCTCCTTAATCGTACTTGGACGGGGAACATCCCCTAAGACTTCAACTTTCTAACTTCTCAGATTCCTGAGCTATGAACTTACACAAAAAACATTTTGGCGGCCCGTACGCGGGTGCCACGCGGCTGATGGCGCTCATTTTGGGTATTGGGGCCGGCACTTGCATGTAGATTGAGTTTCAGAAATTTCAACCCTACAGCTTTTATAGGTCTTGAGATGAAAGTGCGTAACAGACGCACACACAGACACACCGACAACCCCTCGTCAATATGCGTTTTTGCATTGTATAGCTGCAAAAAACGCAAAAAAACTAAGTTTTGAAAAGCAATTCTAAAACACTGCTCACCAGGCATCGTTACTGGTGATACTTCGGAATCTCGCTCGAACAGGCTTCTCGTCCTGAAATTTACTGCACTAGCCCAAATTATCGTTTAGCGATAGCACAGGCTACGAGAAATGCACCTTCAAAACAACTTTCATCCCTGTTCTGAACAACCTATGTCGCTGAACTGCGAAATCCATTGCTTCCTGACTGGACTTACAGGAGAAGCCCGGTGCCCAGGCTAAAAGCTTGCCCCAAACTCCGCCCCCCGCTGAAGGTTATTGGTCAATTCGAATGGAGGCGCTATTGGCCAGTCCGGGAATTAGCCGCGCTCGTTGCTCCATCCAGTTCTAGGTACAGTTGTGGTGCTGAATAGGAATGTGTACGATTTCCTCAGACTGATCTTTGTATTTTATAAATATCGTTAGTAAAACCTTTATCGTCAAGTGATTTTTTTGCCTGCTGGCATTTGGGCATTCGCTGGAATTCCCCCCCCCCCTTCCCCCGATATACGGAACCTTCCTCGCTCACTTGGGATAAAAAAAAGAGGCCGGGGCCATAGGCGGATCTGGATCCCCTCCCCCGGGGCACAGGTACCAGTGCTGCAGAAGCCCGGGTCTGCTCATAAATAAAACTAAAAGTAACTCTAACTTGCACCATTACAACTCTGTCCCTGGTTTTTGCATAGTTCCGGGGTGGGAGGAGGTTATTCCCTCACCTCCCCCCCCCCCCCCCCCCCCCCCCCCCCCCCCCCCCCCC